AGTCAGCCAATCACAACGCTGTGCCTGACGATCACTGCATCGCGGAGCTCTTCGCGCCCTCTTCCGCCAGGGGCATGGCTGGAGCTGAAGCCGGTAAACGAAACATCCCAGGCACAGCGTGTCTGCGCCTCGTTCGGGCACATGTCATCATCGCAGATGAGGCACCGACCGCTTTGACTGAACCTGTCTTGGGGAAATGCTACACACGTGTATCGCAAGGAGTCGCGCCATGTCTCCCTGGACTGACAGCAGATGGGCTAGAACGCAGAAGCGGTATGGCGACGACGGCGCGTGGCTATGTGGACACGCTCTCGTTATTCAGACTTTGCCTCTCCGTACTCACCATTGGCTGCGTACGCTCCACTGCCTGCCAGCGCCAGCTCCAACTTGCTGTGCGCCGATTCGCAACGTGGGACCGGTTGGCGAGCCGTCACAGCGTCAAGGTGACATATCCTCCTGCGGTTCTTCTGCCGGACCGTCTCAACGAAAGCTGTCGTTCGCTCGCTTTGTTCTGCACGCTGCCAACTCCACAGCTTCTGGACTTTGTGATGATGGCATTCACAAGCCGTCAGCATGCGCTGGAAATGAATTGTGGGGCTGCTGCACCTTCGGCGTTGTCCTACTGGGCGGCACTGGTTCCGCGCGGCAGCCATGTGCGAGAATTTGCGCCCTACCTTATCCACTTATCGATTGCGATACCTATCCATCTCCACACCCATCCCATCGCGGCCTATCACATGTGTGTGGTGAGTAACTCAGTCTTGCTCTTGGGTAGCAAAAGAGTTTTCATCGTTCGCTTCTCGGCAGCATGCTCGTCGAACAACTCTGACGTTCACCCGTCCTGCCCGACCGCGCGTTCTCACAGGGACTGGGTTGTTTCTCGTGCGCAATATGAGAACCTTGATTTCGTCACCACTAAACGGCTTGCTTCTCATGATCACTTGGAAAGAGATTCCGGTTCAACGGGGAAAGCCGCAGAACAGGAGTTGGCGCTACGGCACTTCTGATGCACTGCTCTTTCAGTTCCTATGGTTCGCCGGGTTTGGCTTGAGCAAGTCTACCAAACATGGTGGATCGCCCAGGACCGAGGATTACCGCATTGTTCTAGATTGCAGAATCCTTCGCTCTTACGTGCCAACAGACCTGTATCGGCATCTGGGATCACATGTTCGGTAGAAGGCTCATGCGTTGACCTCTGTGCGTATCCGACGTCAAGCTTGGTTATGGTACACTAGAAGACGTCGAGATGCTTTTGCCGTCCGCCCAGCCTGCAATACATCGTCATCGTTCAAAGGCAGCGGCAAGTTTCTCGCCAACGGTATGCGTACCAAGAACGTATGTGTGAAGGATCAAACCCCCGGCAACAGATCACAACGTTGCCCCGGCCGATCCTGACCCGATCGACATTTCAACAAGTGATCTTCGTTGCTTGTATGCATGCGATCTCGATCAATGTTGCATTTCTCCTACACACATCGGACTACTCGGATAGACGCTGTATGCTAACAGACTACGCTAGCTGAGGTGTGGTTGTGCGACATTAGCATCTGGACAACTAGCCGAGAAAATTACTCCAGCTTACCGATGATGAGAAGAGATTGTAGGCGTTGAGTAACGGCAGAAATCTGTGCAGCGTGCAGGTGTGCGAAACAGAAGATGTACCGATGATGAATACGCCATCGGCTGGTAGCTGACTTTAGATTGTGTATTGAGCACTGTACGTGTAAGAATTCGATCATGATCGCAGTCCAGGGACCCATGAATGTTTCAATTGCGGCTTTCATTCTGGGCTTATCTTCCCAGACCCATGTATCATTGCTTTCATGAGTCTATCTGACAAGATGGCTATTTGTCGTTGGCTTCCCGTAGCGTCTTGCTCGTCTTTGTACTGCATCATCCCCGATTGCTGGCTACAAATACGCTATATCCAATGGCCATTCAAGCAGAGATTCTTTCTCTTTCTGCTGGCCACAAAACTATTGGCAATAGATTCGTCAAATTTCGACGCATGAGCCAAGGCGTTCAGCTTCATGTCACACGAGGTCGTACCGGAAGTTGGTATATTTCGTATCTCTTCCGCATGTCAGCTTATAGTTACACGATATCAACTTAGCTCGGCTGTTGTACATGTGCCATCGTCAACCAAGCGAATGTATCTCTTGATCCACGGAGTTCAGTTCTCTTGCTCTTCTATGGCGCTCAAGATTAAGGGTTGCCTACTAGATAGTACATTCCCTTGTAACTGAACCCAAACACAGCATTATCAAAGCTATCGTCTCTCGTTGCCTCATCTCTGTTCGCAAAACGTCTCGTCAAGAATATCCTCCCCGGCACCAATTCTTCACCGGGCTCTGCAGATTCCGAAGGCCTTAAGTACTCGTCATGGAACTTGACCTCATATACCTCTCTCTCCTCGTCCTCCCTCCCAGCTACCCTTCTCGCCTCTACTATTGGTAGACCGAATTGACGACCAACCATCTGCTTGTACGAGCCCATAATGAAAATCGGCGCGCAAACGAGTTCCTGCCTGCTTAGAAACCCCTGCGTATCAACGTCGGACCAGGACACGTCGTTTTCGTCTCGGACATAGGTGTCCATTTCGAGAGGTAAATATTCGTCTCCTGCACGCTCTCCTCGTAGTAAGTCGCGAAGGAAAAGCATACCCAAATCCTCTGCGACGGCAAGTACAAATAGCTTCTGTGCATACTTATAGACTCGATGGGTGAGAAATGAGCGGCTGTGATCGGGGAAGTGTATCTTTTTAAGATCGGAATCGCAATCCACTACTTCTCTGATGTTCTCGTGCGTGGCAAGAGCATTTATGGCGGCTGGGGGAAGGAAGGAGTTTTCTTCGCGGAAGATGGTGCATGTTATGGTATTTTGCTGTATGAAGTGTTGGATGAGGATGTATTGAGAGGTATAAGGCATGGTCATTGGTATGGTTATTGACGCTGCCATCGCTCTCGTGAGATTGGCGGATGGGAGCTCAAGTGACTAGACTGGTGCAGTGTAGAGTTATTTAAACCCCAGTGAGAAGATCAGGAAATTAGAGCTCATGATTGTTATTACACAAACTGATCACGCTCAAGCCGTCAGCAAATTTGCGTGCTCATTCACTGCTGGTGAGAAACATATCCTGGCAAATCTTTTACGTCCGGCACATCCATAACCTCGGGTGTGTCGCCCTCGCCCCCTTCACGATCATCTTCGTAATCTTCATCGATATCTCCGTTCGGCTTTTCACGCAAGAAATACCACCTTCCCTCACATATAAAGCCCCACTGGAATCGAGGCCTCTGCACATCTGCCTCTTCTGCACTCCCAAGGACTTCCATTCTCCACACTTTCTCATCCCCCTGCCTGAGATGCTCCAGATCGAATGACACATCATAAACACTTCGTTCCCGAACGACGTGCACCGCTGAAAACGGGATGCAAGATAGGTATGGAACCACTTGATCAAATTTCTCTGTATCAAGTACTGGCGCACATACCAGTGCTTGGTTTCGAAGAAATTTGAACATGCTGATCCGATAATTTTCACTTATCTTGTAGTGTTTTTCCTGCGCAATAGGAAGATCATCATCATCCATCTCATCTAAGAGTGTAGAGAGGAATTCCAGACTGAGTCCTAGCTTGATGGCGAGGAGGAAGAGTTTCTTACTCTTCCATTCGATTAGATCTATAAGAGCGATAGCATCATGAACAGAGGACACTTCTTCCCGTGGGTAAGTGCTCTTGGTTATGAATACGGTGATGTCTTGACGACTTGTGAGGGTGTCCACAGCGCTGCGTGGGAGGTAGGATATCTCTACACCGTCGAACGTGCATCTTTGTGTGAGATTGTCGATAGCGTGGACATAATTTGCGAGTTGTTGCTCGTGCGTATCTGTGGGCAACAGTTGAAGGGCCATGCTTCCGGTGTACGTATGGAGGATGACTGAATGAGATGAGATCAGTGACTGTCTCTTATACTTGATGTGGCGCTTTGTCGTTTGGTCTGATGCAGTGCCCACGTGGATGTCTTGATCACGTAGCAGGGCAGGATGCCAATACCTTGCATCTTTTGTGTCAATTTTCTAACCGGTCTTGACAGTTTCCTGGGTGTAACATCTCATCCTTCATACGGACGGCCAAATCATTACCAAGCATGCAATGACGATGATGCGAGGCGTGTAAGACGGGGAATTAGAATTGAAAGACCATATCAATATGCAGCGGTGATTTGTGTTCGAGCTATAGGTACAGAACCGTTGTTCGTGAGGTGTTATGGTTATTGCCAAAGCACCCGCGGTGTTAATTCAGTGCACTACTCTGCCTTTGTGCGAATTTACAAACCTCCACTTTCCGTCTTTTGATCAAAGTGCACCACCAGCCTGTTCTTTCACCATAGTGGTACCTGAGTTACAAATTCGATGGGAAAGATCGTGCGCCTCAGAATTGCTGCAAAGTTGCTCTTTCGATGTACCCATTCTCTGGATCCGAAAGCCATGTTCTCAAGCCTATCCATGGAAAGCTTAGCAAAACTCACAACAAAAGATCACCGCGCTCATCACGTCGCACGCGTGGTATGCGAGCATAATCGTTGTACGCACCTGATAGGAATTGTATTGCGAAGCATGATGCATAAATTCGAGATTTGAGGCTGGTCTCTGAAGGTCCATGACGTCAAGACCGCTAAGCTACGTACCTAGATAGGTAGTCCGTTGTTTTACGCGCTTGACCACGGAAGTAAACCCGAGACACTTCTCATTTGGAATTCGTAAACTTTCGGGGTTAGTTTACATCGATGCTGCATCACTCGGGTCATTTCAGATAATTGATGAGATGTGATGGATTGCAATTAGTTTTACTATTTACTACACCCAAGGACTTGATGTCCTTAGTGGCATGAGGTTAAGCCTCGCTCTCAAACGTCATGGTTCACTAAGAACTGTTCCTCAACTGGAGCTCAGCCTGCACTGTGACAGCTGCTGGCATGCTCAACAGTGAAGCGTGATTTACTTGCTGACCATCAAGGGGCAACCAGCATCCTTGAAGATGGGGTTCAACTTTCCGGCGGAGAAGTCGATCAACGCATCTGTGAGGTCGGTAACGCTGCTGACGGTGCTGGGAATGAGGTTGACAGCCAGCTGGTAAAGCAGGCAAGTAAGCTGAGCAGCGGTAGCATCGCTGGGCAACTTTCCGTCGACGATGATATCGAATGGAGTAGAGAGAGCGTCGAAGTTGCCCTTGCCAACGTTGCCACCGAATAGCTTGGGGTACTTGACGTACTGGGCAAGAATCTCGTTGGTAACATCCATGTTCTTGTAGGGCTCGACACGTGAGAACCAGTTCTCGGGGATGCGCTCGGGGACGTGACGCCAGCCACCTGGGGCAGAAGAGTCCTCAACGGCACCGAAGAAGGACTTCATGGTTGCGAGATCTGGGACGCCCTTGTCGCCGTAGCTGGGGAAGAGCTCGTAAAGGAAGGAGGCAGCTCCGTAAAGGAGAAGCGAGAGGGGACCGAAGTAGAAGTTGGGGTTCTCTGCGACAGAGTCGTCGTACCGGTTGCTGCGGTACTTGGCGAGGGCCTCACGATCGAACTTTCCACCGGAGGTGGTGTCGGCGACCGCCTTCATCTGTGCGAACAAAGTGCCGTTGAAGCTGTAGTTGTCTCCGTTGGCAAGGAAGAAGTCGTTGCGTGTGAGCGAAGAATCGGCCTCGAACTTGTTGTGGCCATCAAGACCGGGCTGGCTGCCCAGAAGAGGGAGTGTGGCAGTGCGAGACGTAGCATCGCATCCGATACTGAGACGTCCGGAGAGCACATCACCACCAGCTTCAATACCGAGGACAGCGAGGAGGACGGAAAGGTCGTATCCTACGTTGTAGACATTCTGCTGGGCGTCGACCAACTCCTGGAAGTTGGTAATACCATCGTGTGAAAGGAAGTTGTGCTGCCTTCAATTAGCAAATATATAGTACTCGCAGTGGATGCTACTTACGTTGGCTGCGGCGTTCAATCCTGGGCAGGGTCCACGGATGTCGTTGGATCCAGGAGCAGTGTAGGCGTGAGCCTTGTCGCCGTCTGCTGGCACCTTGATACCACCCTTCTGGCTACCGGGAACACCGTTCTTAGCTCCAGAGTAAGTGTAAGGAGCAACGTATGGAGCAGCGCCCTTGTGAACAGGGTTGAAAGGGCAGTTGGCCTGGCGCTTCACTTCGGCGTTGCGTGCGAACAACCTGGAGTTGACACCAGGTTGGCCAGCGACCCAGCCGTAGCTCATGGCACCTGAGGCCTGGAGGAGGAGAAGAGAAAGAGTATGCATGACGAATAGTAATCCCGAAGTGTACTGTGGTGGTTTACTCGAGATGACCTGAGAGGATGATCTTCTTTCTGTCGTCTGAGTCTTCTACTTATAATCTTTTGCCATCATCTCCTATCCAACTTCTGTTTCTCGATCGAGAGACGTAGATCGGGACCGAGGCAACTTCCTTGCACGCTGTCAAAACCCTACATCTCCGCCAGCAAGTCTCCAATATCCGCGCACCTCGATTGGCTGAGACATTGCTTCCACCCCTGACTTCGCAGTGTGTAGTCGATGATCGACATACCCCGGAGTCGATCGGCGGCGATGTTCTGAGGTCTAGGCGGGGCAAGATAGGTAGTTAGGAGCCATTTCCGAAAGCGAGTTCGCATCTGCTACGGGACTATTGATGCGTACCTGCTTGGTAGCTCTTCATATGGCAGTGGCGTTGCACCTGGACGGAAGGTTTACGCTCCGCACGGACTAGTTCACGTCTCTTGCCCAAACTAGCTTGGTGCGTCGATCATTTCCCCAAAGAAGCTGTTTGCGCTCACAAGGTCCCATGCGGATGGATTGCGGGGAAAGCAAGTATCCAATGACGCATGGCCTATTCCCGCCAGACTGTGGTCATGTTGCATACGCTCAAGAAAAGATCGACAAGAACTATTATGATCGCAATAATACCGAGGCAGCTGTTTCAATGCCGCAAGATCTATAGGCTGAAGTAGAAGTTGCAAAGACGTAATTGACGTGGGAACGGGCGGGCATTGCCATATCAGAGGCTACATTGGCTCAACGTCGCTTCTCGTGTGCGTCGGTACGTGGAGGTTGCCGGCAAGTGCGAATCAAGTCGCCGAGAAGCCATGCGTGACGATGCTCTGAGGCCCAAGATCTGACCAAGGGGTATTCAGACCTGGTTCGAGGATTGGGTGGTAGAACAATAGCCCAAAACCCGGTAAGATCTGTTACGCGGCGGAAGACACCGATAGATTCCTTTTTTGGAATGCCTGCTCCCACAGTGTTCATAAATCTCCGAACAATAATATCGATCAACTCACAGGCTGCAATTTCCCTCAACCCAATGCTGTGGACTTGATCCCGGATCCAAGAATTTCCAAGCCTTTCGAACCGATCACCAAACTCTCATCACGGTCCATTCCGTCTGCTGCACGCTTGAAATGACGACCTGTCTTAGAAGTTGAAGCCTGCCGAGGCAAGTTCCAGCTGTTTGCGAGAGTTGCCCCCCACGCTGGAGAGAGTGTGACGAAGAGCGTATCAGGTCATGCTGAACAGTCGCGTAGGTCGACGCCGTCAAGAACCGGCTCAATGGAATGAACGAGTGCAGCATGGGCTACAAGACCATGGTGTCGCACTACAACACGTGAACCTTGAGATCTCGATGGAGTTTTGCTTGATTGAGCAGTTTACTTGCTCGGCGTGCAAGTCCGTCGTCATACTCAGTCCAGTTTACGATTTGGAGTAGAATGAGCGATCCAGAGTATGAAAAGTCATGCACAGCCCTGTAATGTCGATGTAGAGAATACCACGGCTCTACTAGGGTATCCAAGGAACCGCAGGCCATGACGGGAACGCGGAATGTCACCGTACTGACTGCCAGAATTCCTCCCTTCCTAGTAAACCATAATCTGACTCGCGTCCAGCCTGACGCTACGTAAAACGGCAAACCTGGGGCTGACACCACGTGGGCGAAGATCCTTGAACGAGACATCATCCTAGAAACCCAGAAGAGACGAAGTAAGGCAAAGACCATGGACATATTTTGCCTTGTGTTCTGATGCCTGTTCCGCATGGCTGCGATGTTCCATACAAAGTCGATTCCAAGTTCTTCATTAGATCAAGGCGAGACTTCCGGTCTGATCCCTAGTCTTCGATGTAACTGCCATGTTGTTAGTCCAAGCTGAGTGTCGCTTGAGTAAGAATTGCACACTTACTTCTAGCCCATTCAACAACTAAGAAAGCATATGCACCTTCCGGACTTGGGATGGAAGGCCTGGGATAGCTGGGCGAACGGGCAGTAGTATGTCGAAAAAAATGCATCGGGCTTCACTGATTAGCTAGGCGGCCTTTTCGACAGGCAGCTCATTGTCCCAGTAGCAGCACTGAAAAACCAAGCGGCAGCGTGGAGCTTTCAGGCCATATCACACCCGAGCTCCGTCTGAGCAAGGATGAGTTGATCATAGCAGGCAAAAAAACTTCAACATAATCGAAGCCGTCCACTATAACCATCCTCACCGGCCAAAAGAACGCCAAAAAGAAAAGCGACAGTACTCTCCAGCGGGGAATTGAACCCCGGTCTCCCGCGAGTTGCCAATACTGGTGACAAGCGGAAATACTGACCACTATACTACTGAAGAAGAGTTGGTATCGCTGATACCAGTGATGGCAAACCTCAAAATTGAAATGTATAATACCACAAGCAGACAAAACCACCAAGGCTTAGTATAGACACTCGACCATGCTCTTGGAAGATGTTGTAGTAGAGCAGCGGAATGTGGGTATCAGTGGAGACAGAAGAAACTAGCGAGCGGTGAGAGCAGCAAGCCTCGGCAAAAATATAGATAGCGACGACAGAACTGTAGCATATCGAGAGCGCAACAAAGTCAACTCAATTCTTTCAGGTAACGCTAAGAGTAGACGATTATATACATATCGCGATATGGAGACAAGGACGCCAGTCATGCGGATGGTATCGAGCGCCAACAATATGATGCAAGTCGACTCGAATACGCCTCCGCGCCGAGTAGGATGGTACAGTATGCGAGTGATGTGAATGGGGGGAAGAGGATGTGACAGGTCCTCAGCCCCAATGTCAGATTTGTGAGTGCGTAGCTGTACGCTTATTTGTTGACCTTTGACTCGCGGCCGATGACGGGGTTCTGACCGCTTGCGAACTTGCTGTCGGACTGAAGCAGCTCGTCGGGTTTATCTGCAAATACTTCGTTTAGCCGAATTCCAAATGCAAAGAGGTTTGCACAAGCTTCCTCGTCGGAGTGTGACGTACCGTGACGAGCGTAGAGGTGGTAGTCCTCATCTGTGTACTTGCCGACGTGGCCGCTCTCGACATCCTTTCGGGTGAGGGAGAGCTTGTTCTTGGGCAGACCCATGGAGCCGAGGTAAGTGACAGAGTTCTTCCACTCAACGTCCTTACGCTTGTTGTCCCACTTTAGCTCCTCGGCCATGATGTCAATAACCTTGGGGAGAGCTTCCAGAGCAGCCTGGGCGTTCAGGAAAGCCAGGCGCATACGGCGCGCGATTACGTCGGTGGCCGTCTGAGCGTACTCGTGACGGACGCAGTAGCGGACCTCACCATCGATGTATGGGTAGAGCTCAGCCATCTTGACGCCGCGGACAGGGAATCGCTGCTCAGTGGGCGATGCAAGAGCTGCGACGGTCCATGCACGGTCACCGTAAGCCTGGCAAAGGTATTTGGCTACGTCAGTCTCAATGCCGTAGTGCTGGATGAGGTTGATGAACAGGGTCTTGGAGAAGCCGTGAGCACCAACAAGTCGAACACGGTGGGTTTGGCAGGTGCCGTCAAGAGGAGCCTCGTCCTTGACCTCAGTTCCGCTAACGAGAGTGGGGTTCACAAGCGGCTGAGTCTTCAGGCCGTACTCTTTGATCGCCTCGTCGACAGTCTCTTCGGCCATTTGGCGGTAGGTAGTCCACTTGCCACCGGAGCAAGTCATCAGGCCGGAAGGAGAGGTGGTCACCAAGTGATTGCGGACAAGACCCTCAGTCGCGCTCGCGTTGGGGTCACGGACGAGAGGACGGATACCGGACCAGGCAGCGAGGACGTCGCCGCGGCGAACGTTGATCTCAGGCTGCAGATAGCGCTTAACCTCCTTGAGAATCCAGTCAATCTCTTCCTCACCAGCAACAGGATCTTGCTTGATGTCACAAGCAGTGTCTGTTGTGCCGGCGATGGTGTTGCCCTGCCATGGCAAGAAGAAGATGACACGGCCGTCGGAAGTGTTGGGGTCAATAAGACCCATGTTTGAAGGGCTGTAGTAACCAGGGAGAATGACGTGAACACCGGAACTAGGGGCGACAATTTCCTGAACCTCTTGGTCGTCCATTTTACGGATGGAGTCGGTGAAGGGACCGGTAGCGTTGATGATACCCTTGGCCTTAATGGAGAACTGTTCAGACTTCTTGCCATCGCGCTCAGCAATGCAGTCCTTGGCCTTTGCTCCGCACAGACGACCATTGGCATCCTTCTCAAGCTCAGTGACTTCGAGATGGTTGACAACAGTTGCGCCGTACAGCGCAGCGGTCATGGCGATCGAAACGTTCATGCGGGAGTCGTTGTGTGCACCATCTGGTGACGTCAGATCCTGCTGCAAAATGAGTGACCGTTGAACGTACCGTAGTAAACAAGGGCTCCGACAAGGCCTTCCTTCTTCAACATGGGGAACGCATCCAGAGCCTTGCTCTTTGTCATGTAGTACGAGCTCTCAATGTTCTCTGAACCAGCGAGGAAATCGTAGAACTTGGTACCAGCCCAGAAGTAAGGAGCTTGCCACCACTTCTGGATCGGAATCATGATCGGGAGCCATTGTGAAAGATGAGGCGCGGTGTCCAAGAAGTAACGACGCTCACGGAGAGCTTCAACGACGAGAGCATATCTAAACGAAGTCAGAAATCGCATGGATAACATTCTGGGGCAACTTACTGGTTGTAGTCGAGGTTCCAGACAGCCTTCTCTAGGTATCGTACACCACCGTGTACCAGCTTTGTACTCTTACTGCTAGTACCACTGCTGAAGTCGTCGCGCTCGACGAGCGCAACCTTCAGACCTCTTGTAACAGCGTCAAGCGCAATACCGGCTCCAGTTGCGCCACCACCAATGACCAACAGGTCATATGGCTCTTCCTCAGCCTTCTCAGCTGCTGCCGCTGTAGAGCCACTTCCACCAAGCCACTTCTTTGCCTTCTCGGCGACCTGCGAGACGACACCTGCGCTGCGCTTCAATTGCGCAATCTGCTCATCGCGGCTCTTGGCGGAGGGGAATGACGGTGGTCGGAAGACACCTCCCTCGCCATATGTAGGTGGTGGGACTGCGGCGGCTTCTGAGCCGGGGATATCGCGAGGTCGTAGGGTAACGTATAGGGCGGATGCACCAACTGCTCCAGCACCAGCTGTGTAAAGCAGCGGCTTGATGAAGCGGCTTCCTCGTCGGGCAGCCATGATGCTTTAAGGGCGGGGTATAAGATCTGGAGATGCAGTCGCTCCAGGCGGTGTTGGTCTAATGTACAAATGCGTCGATGGAAAATGCTATAAAGATCTGCTGAGCCTGGGAGGCTTCATCGACTGTCAGCGCGCCCGCGCATCGGAGATAACGTTGGGTGTAGGCACGGAATTCAACTCACCTCAAAAACGAGTTACAATGGCATGGCGACCATGGCGCTGTGTATA